GTGTTATTCTCCCACATTATTATCACCATTACTATTACTATTACTATTATTATTATTTTACTATTAGTCCTTAATTTTTCTCTTAAGTGTCTTGACAATAAATCATACTATTTAGTGCAATGGTGTGAGAGGGTTACAGACCCTGGCACCGACTAATTGGTAGATTGATTAGTAGAAAAATGTAACCTCTTAAAAGCTTTTCACAGAAATGGTGAGAAAGGTTAAGAGTTATTATTTAGGATACTTTTGGACAAACTGCAGTCCAGAGGGTGCCTGAGCCTTCCTAAGAGGGCCCTCAGATGACAAGCTTGTCTGTCTCTGTCCTTCAAACAATGGCAACCCACTAGGCTATGCTATCTTAGCCTGTATAATCCATTAATGAGTATGTGTGGGTTTTGTTGGGACTGGGAGAATGGTACTTGGTGAAATGAAATTTAAAAGTTTCCTGTAGGACAGGAATTGTCAGACTTTTTGGTCTCAGAATCCCATTATACTTTTTAAAAAATTATTGAGGATGCCAAAAAGTTTTTGTTTGTGTGGATTGTGTATATCTATAAGTTCTATAACATAATTAATATATAATATGATATATTATATAATATAAAAGTGTACAATATGTAATAAGTATTCTAAAATTTTTATTAGTTTTACTGGTTTAAACTAACAATAAAACATAAATAACATGTTAATGAAAAATAAATGTTTTTCCAAATAAAAATATTAGTGAGAAGAGTGGTTGTTTTGCTTATTTTTGCAAATCTCTTTAATGTCTGGCTTAATGGAAGATAGCTGGATTCTTATATCTGCTTCAGTATTCAATCTATTGCAATATCTTGTTTTGGTTGGAGCATATGAAGAAAATCTGGCCTCACACAGGTATGTGGTTGGAAAAGGGAGGAACATTTTAATAAGCAAGTAACATTTTAGTTTTGACGTCACAGATCTCCTGAAAGGGTCATGGGTACTCCCAAGGATCTGAGGACTGAGCTTTGAGAACTCCTTCTGTAGGATATTACATGTTTTTACTGTGATTCATGTGCTGAATGCTTATTCATTTTATTAACTTTGTCCCAACCTGTGATTTCAAAGGTGTAGGGAATGACCCAGTATGGAAATTCTGTCTTCCTGTGTAGCTCAGCAGCTCATTTGTAATTTATAGTTTTAGAGATTTACTATAGCTAGTAAATTTTCAAGATTAAGATTCAGACTCAGGTCTTCTTCACTCAACACTGAACTGTAATACCTAGCTGCCAACCCATCCTTGCCTAGGTAGCAAACACTCTCTGAGTAGTGTTCAGGACTGGATGTGATGATTTGTTATGTTTACCTTCCCTTTGACTTTGCCTTTCTCTTATGCAGACCTACCTGCATGTCATTTTATTAATTCTCTCTCTGTGTCTGCCTGTCTATCTGTCTCTCTATCTCACACACATAAACACACACATATATATGTTTATATGTCACAGAATTGAAGAGTTTTAAGGTTTTGGTGGTCATCTCTCTGATCTAACCCACCATACATGAAAGTAATCTTCACTATAACATACTGGGCAAGCCCTTGCTTGAAGACCTCAAAAGAGAGAGGTGATGGAGAACTTACCATGAGGCAGCCCATTCCACTTTTGTACAGTTCTGATTGTTAGGGAGATTTTCCTGATCTCAAGCATAAATTGGTATCTTTTCAATTTCCCAGTTCTGCCCTCTGGGGCCAAACAGAACAAATCTAATCCGTTTTTGTTTTTTTTTTAAGTTAACCCCTTTTCTTTAAATGTTTGAAGACAGCCATCAGATGTCCCTTGAGTCTTCACTTCTCCAGGCTAAATATTCTGAGCTCTTTCAACCAGTTCTTATATGACACGAACTCACCATTTGCCGTTCTAGTTGTACTCTTTTGGATACTTTCTAGCTCATTAATACCCTTCTTAAGCCATTGTACCCAGAACTGAGCACAAGACTCCGGAGGAATTCTGTTGAGGGTGGACTATGGTGGACTCTCACTTCCCTGTTGCTGGAAGCTATGTCTCTCTTAATATAGCCCAAAAACCAATTAGCTTTTTTTGGCTGCCATAGCACATAGTAAGCATCTGTTAAGTGTTTATTGACTGACTGGCATCCCACTGCTAATTAATAGTGAGTTTATAGTCCACTAAAAACTATAGATTTTTTTTTCAGAACTGGCCTCTAATGATGCCTCTCCTACTCTGAACTAATGAAGTTATTTTTTCTTTGAACCCAAGTATAAGACTTTATATTTACCCCTATTTAATTTCATCATATTAGATAAATTAGATTAAGTAAGATTACAATTGTGAAGTGCTTAGTTTAGCAGTGCCTGGCATATAGGAAGATATAAATGTGGTTGTGGTGGTTGTTCTTATTAAACCCAATGCTCCTAGTTTGTCAAGATCCTCTTGGGTCCTGATTCTGTGTTAACAGTTAACTGTGTTAACAACCCCTTCCAGCTTTGTGTCATCTGCAGATTTGATGAACATACTGTCTATGTTTTTATCCAAGTCACTGATAAAAACTGAAAAACACAGGGCCAAGCACAGATACCTAAGGCACTCCACTGGAGACCTCCTCCCAACTTGACATTAAACCAATAACAAATACTCTCTAAGTCTGACCATCTAACAAATTCTGGATCCATATGATTGTATTATCTTTTAATTGATATCTCCCATTTTTCCACATGAATAATAGACTTTATCAAAAGCTTTGCTAAAATCTAGGTAACCCAGATCCATAGGATTCCCCTCATCTACTGGTTTAGCAATCCTTTCAGAAAAGGAAATGAATTTAATACGTCATGATCTGTTTTTGATGACACCATACTGATTCTTTGTATTCACTTCCTTCCTGGAGACTGTCCTTACACAATTTGGCTGTGTGAAGTTGAAAGAACACCTGTTCACCTTGATATGGTAGTTTGTAGATTAATTTACCTTAATTGAGTTGACTTTCTGTAAGTTTCTTCAAGGCAAGTGATTATATGTTATCTATTGGTGTTTCCCATAGTCTCTTACAAATAATAGGTATTCAGTTATAGTTATTTGATTAATTGACTAGGATATGCCCTAGGAAGCTCATTGGTACAGGGAGTTTCTGGAAGGGGATATACTTTCTGCCAAAGCAGGACACATTGTAGGTGCTTAATAAATGTTTATTGATTGACAGTGCCTTCTTTACAAATTAATAAATGTTTATTGATTGACAGTGCCTTCTCTACAAAATATGGTCTTAGTGAGATGCATGGAGCAGAGGTGTCACATTCAGGGTCCTGGGGGCACCTAACACTCCTGAATGCCTCTGAACCAGATTAAAATGTAATTGGGGAATATTTGACAAAATTAAAATATAAGACGACAGATACTATTACACCAAGTCAATATGTTGCCTGAAGAGTCCTTATGTACAGATTAGTGGTCTCCATTTCTAAGTGAGCTTGATGTCACAGGTTTAGAGCCCTGAGGATAAATGGCTTGCTTAGAGTCACATAGCCAGTATATGCTGGGGGCAGGACCTGAACACAGGTGTTCCTGACTTGGAGGCGAGCTAGCTGTCTACCACTTTAGGATGCTTTTCTTCTACAGATAAATATAATACAAACTAGAATATGATCAATGTGTGTGAAGATTTTAAAGTACTGTGAGATCAGGTTGAGCAAAAATGGTTTCCAGTTCAGGACATCAAGGAAGGCTTAATGAAAAGATGGCATTTGATTTCTGGTCTCCTCAGAATCACAACGTTTCTTGAAAATTGGAATGTTAGAAATGGATCACCTTGTCTATAGCATCTGGTTTCCCTCTGCCACAATTCAATCTAATTTAACAAAGTTTTTGAACTGTTTACTACATTTAATGCTGTGCAGGCCACAAAGTTGAATGAGACATTGTCCCTACATTCAAGGAATTTATAATCTAATGGGGGAGAAGAAACAGGTACAAAAGTAACTAACTTCTTTTTAATTTATATTATACTTTGGAACTCCCAGCTTTAATTTCCAGAAACTCTCCTGTATTCCTACCCCTCCTTCCTTGGGTGAGGTAGCAACATTTTGAGACACATTGAAATTTTTTTGAAGGCAGTGGATCACTAATGGTTTAGCCCTTTGTGGTATAGCACTACTCAATGGATCTCTCTGTAGAAACGTGAGTGGGTCCTCTGTCCTGTGAGGATGGTGAAGTAGAGAATCATAGTTCTGTTAGTATTATTTAAGTCTTCTTTTGTGCTAACATAACAATAGATACAGCAAGCAACACCAGTGGGGATGTTTCAAAGTCAAATCCTTGTCCTCCATGATCAATAATTGTCTCTAAATGTATGCCCTGTATCCTAACATAGGAGTGTCTTCATACTCCCATAATTTTTTCATTTCCTTGGTCTGGAAAAGAATTTTAAAGGTATTAGTTGGCATAGTGGGATAGAGTAATGGTCTTGGAGTCAAGAAGTCCTGAATGCAAACTTATCTGTGTGACCTTCGGCAAGTCATTTGAACTCTTCCAGTCTCAGTTTCTTCATCTCTAAAATGGGGATAATATCATTTACCTCACAGTATTTTGGTAAGGATCAAATAAGATAACACATATAAAGCATTTTCCAAACCTTAAAGCACTACAGACATGCCATCTATTATGTTATATTACCTTTAGTTGGGATAGAAATAGTCTTTGGTTAGCCACTTAAAGTTTATGAGTGCTTATAATTTTTTAATCAAGGACTTCCTTCATCTAGTTAACATTTTCTACATCTTCCTTGGTTTGCCTCCACATCCATACGGGTCTCAGCTATTGGTCTAATGCTTTCAGCTTCAGAGAGTACAATCCCAAGTGAAGATTTCACCCATCAGCCAAGTACGGAATGAAGCTTCTTCTTTAAGTGGTATTTGAGCAGCAGTGAGGGATGGTGCCATCCTGCAGAGGCTCAGCCCGTCTCAGCCCCATGAGAGAAGTGTGGTTTCTAGCAATGTAACCTTTCTGTCGCATCTTTTGTTTCCACAGTGAGAGAGAAACGGAAGAGCCTCTTCATCAACCACGTAAGTGAAGCCGCTGCCTCACGTTCTTCCTGGGCAAGTGCTAACATTGGTGTCACTCATAGCTGAAAACCTTAATCATAATGTTTCCTATTGATTAAAACTTAACTGTCATGCTTTAATGCTGTGTAAAAGATTGCCAGTGATGCTGAAATGTACTCTCTTCTGTTTTTTTTTAATGACTGTCCATGCTCAGTTTGTATACTGCATACATGTTTTACATACAGTATACTGTTTCTTCATGATAGAACATGTGTGAATATCCACTCCAGTGATACCATAGCTTTCCAGCAAAAGCCTTTCCCTCTCTTCCTTCCTTCTCTCCTTCTTTCCTTTCTTCCTTTCTTCTTTCCTTCCTTTCCTCCTTCCATCCTTTCTTCTTCCCTCCCTTCCTTTCTTCCTTCCTTCCGGCCTGCCTTCCTTCCGTCTTTCCTTCCTTCCTCTCTTCCTTCTTTCCTTCTTTATCCTATTTGGAATAGAAACATTCCTTGATCCAAGATTTTGATTCTTCTCCTGCACCTCTCTCCCTTAGAGTAGTTCTTAGTGGGCTCAACAATTACAAGGGTCCTTTTGTTACTAGAAGGAAAAGTTCATTCCAGAATATCCTGTTTTAAAAGGCATCCCCAGCTCTGCTGGCTCTGGCTCTGACTTGGTCCAGCTCAGCAGGGAGTATTTCCTTCGACTCTGTCCTTCCTTCAGGCTCAAGTGTAGCTTCAGCCAGTTACAAGTGTAGCTTACAAGCTGCAGGACTCTGGCTCCAGCTTCACTGGGATGCCCCAGTGGGCACCATGTTGAGGTGTTTTGGCTTCCCCTAAAGCCCTCAGGACCATGGAGGGAGCTCTGACATCAGAAGCAAGTTGTGACCATCACACCCCACTTCTGCCCTTTAAATAAGTAGAATTCTTTTTAAAAAGTCCCCAAAAGCTACCAAATATTTAAGAAGGGAAAATTAACATAGATGTTTGTAAATATTCCTGTGAAGAATTATGGGATATATATTCAGCTTGAGAAAGGATCCTTCACTTTAAAAAAGTCCTCATTGGTTGTTTTTTTAAATAGTAGCAACTGTAGTATATCTAAGCATTTCTGTACAGATTCTTAACTACTCACTGAGAAGATGGGAGTAAACGTTAGGGTACAAACTTAGAAAGAAAATACCAATTGAACCGTAATAATTTTTCAAAAATCATCTCTGATATTAGAATATAGGCCACTGGGGAATGATTTGTAAATGATTTACACATATCTGTTTATGAACGTACCTTTCTTTAAAACAAAGTATTTTTGCACAGTCAGCTCTTGATGATGGGATCTAATGATCCCAGCTCTTTACTTCTCTTTCTCTTTTCTTTTGTTGTATTTTGGACATTTCACTGATTATTGGCACTTCCCCCTATAACAAAGGAAAGTGATAGAATGAATACTGAAACCATTCTGTATGTGTGTGTGTGTATACTGTTTATGAATAGTACTATTTAAAAGCTCTATGAAGGAAGAACTTAGCTCTTAGAATTATTCATACCATCCTTTCTATCCACTCCCGTCATCCTAACTTTTAAATACTTAACTATACACAAATCATTGGTTTTGAAGTCAGAGGCTAGGAGTTTCGTTCTTGGACTTGTTATTTACTAATTGTATGACCTTGAGTAAGTCACTTAACTTATCTATGCCTCAGGTTCTTCATCTATACAATGGGAATAGTATTCAAACTATGTACCTCATAGAGCTAACCTAAGTATCTTATAGACATTAAAGTATTATATCAATGTAATTTAATAACTTTGTATGTAAATATTTATTTGCCCACCTCCTCATTTCTCTTCCATGATATTTTGGACTGGGATAAGTATCTGCTACCATTAACTTTGCCTCTTATTTAATAAATAGTCCTACCCCTTGTCACTGAAGAAACTTCTGCTCACAGACGGAAAATGTTATGCCTATCCCAAGTGCAGCTCAAAGCCCTATATTCTATGTCTTTGGATGAAGCCAAGAATCTCTTGCCTGTATTAGCTCATTGAGTTCTGAACTCAGAGTCAGGAAGATCTGTTAGAATTCTGCCTCAGACACTTACTTATCAGTTGTGTAACCCTAGACAAATCTCTTAACATCTCTGTGCCTCGGTTTGTCATCTGTAAAATGAGATTTGACTCAGTGCCTCTCTGAGATCCTTTCCAGCTTTGATACTGTGATTTCAAATAAGAGTAAAATGCCATTGTCTTTGAGATCTATACAAATTCAGTTGAGCCTATGTAGTATATAGCAAGTCTCTATGTTAGGGCCCATATATAGGCAATGGTCTGTTTGTAGTTAGACACTTCTCCCTGCAAACAAATCTGACTGCCGGTGGGTTCAGCAACTCCACTCATTTGAGCATAAAACACTAAAGCCCATTTAAAACATTGAAATAGCAACACAGTTTGAAATAAGACATTCTTTCATCCATTCAGCATTCATTTAAGTGACATATGTTAGCACTGATTGGAGGCAGAGCTCTGTACTGAATACTAGGAAAGATAAAAAGTTTAGAAAAGACATTCCCTGCCCTAATGAAGCTTAACGGTCTACTAGACTGTTGGGGGCAGCGTTTAAGAAACAATCATGGGTAATAGAAGTATTATTACAGGAGAGTTGCAAAACAAATTATTATATTAGGTCCTTTTTTGTATTTAGCATTGGAAATTGTAAAATTGGAGTTTCATTAAGAACAATAAAACAGTGAAGTGGGGTAGAGATGGCTTTCAAAATATTCAAACTTAGAGAAATCAGCTTTAGTGAGATGGAAGATAGAGGTAACTAATGACCATCAGGAAGACAGACATGAGTTCAGATCTGACCTTGGACACTTAATAGCCCTGTGACCCTAGACAGGTCACTTAACTTCTCTTTGCCTCAGTTTCCTTAACTGTAAAATGGGGAAAATAGCACCTAGCTCATAGGGTTTTTGTGATGATCAGATATTTGTTTTAAATAAAAAAGCATATGGCATGTAAATTCTTATTTCTTTCCTCAAATATAGAAAAAGAGAATTACTGTTTCCATACATTTGGACTGTGCAATATTTTGTTTATTTAAAGTCAGAGTGAATGATTCTCTTGGTCTTTATAACCTATCAGCCAAATAACTCAAGTATATTGTATTACATATAACAAAGTACTTTGTATAATGTACTTTAATTTGTCTTTTGTAAAATAGTATTTTGAATTTTTTTTACTTTGTTATAGGAATATAATCAATTTTCTGTTCAAATGGTCTGTTATTGTCACTTCAAACTGTCTGTCTGAAACAAGTTTCTCAAGAAGCCAACCTGTGTTGCTAAGGGCAGTCTGAGCTGTTAAATAAACTCAAGGGTTGTATGTAGATAAGCTGAACAAGAGGAGAGAGATTTGTTCTGTTCCTTACCCTGAAGAGTTTACATGGAAAAGTAGCCTTTTGTGATTGGAGGAAAGGAGGCATGAAGTTCTACTGTTCCTAAGGAGTAGATTCCTCTTTCCCTTTTCAATTTACTTGAACTCTTATTTTAATAAAATGAGTTTTTAAAGGTTAAAGTTGGACATCTGTAATTTTAACCTGGGATGAGCTGAAGCAGAAAGCTACCATTTTAAGTCTGAGGAAAAACCTACTTCTTGTGTTGTATAATCCTGGCACCCTTCCAACACTTGGTGGGATTATATCTGAAGTGTAGTTGTAGTAATGCATATCAACCTTTTAAATGCTGAAACTGCATAACAAATCACAAAGTGACAGCTTTTTGGCAGCCCTAATTTGGGGATTTTTCCTCAGGGACCCTTTAAAATGAAAAGGGCATTCTCCGAAACTGTTTTATCTCCTTTTCTGCGGCCATTCGGGAAAGTAGGTAAGAAACTTGCCTCTCTGAAGTACTTACTGTAGGCTAACTGGTCGTCCTCAGAATTTGCAAGGGAGCCAAGTAACTTTTATCCTGTGTTTATCGCTCTTTAGCCAACTTCAAAATCTGCTTAGAGAGTCTGATGTAGTTACTGTAATTTATTAGCTTTGTCCTTTGGGGTTTGACTGAATTAAAATCCATTTTTCTGAACTCAGCCTATAAGTTTTCAGATAAGTGAGGTGTGGGCTAAGCTTTCTCACAAAAACTTTTATTCTGTTGGACTCCTGGTTTAACCAGTCTAGTCACTGGCATGTGATCCCTGAAGTCTCTTACTGCATCTCATATTTAATGATTAGGAAAAAATAAATAAAGCAAAGTAATATTGAGAGTTGATGTTAGAAGTGCCTTGCCTATGCTCACACTCAACTATTAAGTGTCAAAGCTGGGATTTGGGACCCAAGGAGCCTCTGACTCCAAGTCCGGATTCATTTGTGTTAAATCGGATAGCATTACTATCCCCACTTACAGATGAGGAAACTGAGTCTCAACAAAAGTAAAATGAGCCTTTCTCATGGACTTACAGCTAATAAATGCTAGAATTTAGGTGGGAACCCGTCTGTCATGATTCTTGCCCTTCTAAGCCCTGTACTCTTTTTACTACATCACGTCTCTTAAGTGCACCAAATATGCTGAATTCCAGAGAAAATTACTGAGGGAGGATATAGAATCTATTTAATTTGATTTATTTGAAAATTGGATTTAGGAATAAATGTGCCATGTGTATTTTGTTTTTGTTTATGGCGTCTAGCATGTAGTATTCTTTCTTGTTTTAAATGTTTATTGATGTCTCTTATTTCATATCATCTTCATTTCCAGATATATCCTCCTCTCCACCACTTAACAAATTGTTACTTCTAACAAAGATGCATATGCAATGTTCCATACTGTAGTCCACCATCTCTGCAAGTCTACCATTGGTTTTGTGTAAAGAACATTAATTGGATTGAGAGTCAGGAAACCCATATTCTAATCCCAGTTCTGCCATAAGTTGTGTCACCTTAAGCAGCTTTTTCTACTTTTTTTGGTTCAGTTTCTTCATTTGTAAGATTAATGAGCCTAATTTTAAATGATTCAGAAAGTGCCTTCCCACCCA